CCCCCCCCCCCCCCCCCCGCAAGACGCAAGCGCCTCCTCCGCGACCTCCCTCAACTGGCCGCCCGGCCCCGATACGCCTACATATGTCCCTCTATATTATATCTCTTGGTTTGTTATTGCTTCCGCCGGAGGGCGTCTATCTCTTCCGTACTTGCCCAGGGAAAGGAGACACAGTTGCCATCAGCCGGCCAGCCTCCGCCCCCGGGGACGATGGGGCTGAGAGCAGTGTAGCCCGACCCGGGCGTGCTGCAGATCCGCAGCGTCTGCACCCTGTGGCCAAACACCATCCAGGCTGTGTGTTAAAAAGCACAGTTGGGCGACCCGCCACGCGTTCGTGAGGGTCATCGCACACCTGAGAAAGATGCCCCCCCCCGCCCCCGCCCCTCCTGACCGGACAACCCATCTCCAATACCTGGCCCCGCCCCCCCGCCCCCCCCCCCCCCGGCGAAAATTCGACCCGCTGTCGTGCTCGCCGCCGGCCCCCCGGGGAGCCAAGGGGCCACATCGCTGTCACGCCTCGGGTCACACGACAACATCCGATCACGCGGAAAGACAATTAAGTAGATTAACCCATTACCCCGGGGTGTCTGGCTCACGTTTGCTCGGGGCAGTGGCCCCGTCGGTGTCGGCGTCGGGGGGATCGGTGGCGGTCTCCCGGGGCAAGACCGCCGAAGGGGCCACCGGCGTTGAGGCCGCGGCCGGTGTGATCGACGCAAATCTCCGTACCTTCAGGAAAAAGGCGGGGTTCCACCAGAAGATGAATTCTTGTTGGGAAAACTCCACAAAAGACCCATTCGGAAGGGTTGTCCACTCGCCGGGGAGGACCGGTTGGCCGTTGACCATGAGCATTTCGTTTGGCCGGCCATCCGCAACCTCCTCTTCCCTGGTGGGAGGGAGGAGGCAGACCCGGAATTCGCTTGAGGGCTCAAACCAAATGAGGGCCTGAGAGGGAGAGGGTCATATTAGAATCGATTTTCAGGGGGGGGGGAGAGAGAGAGAGAGACGAGGGAGAGGTCAGGGCACAAAGACTGGGTGGGGGAGGCGTGAAAGTGCAAGGGAGGCCCGCACATGTCGCTGCTGGATGCCGACACACGAGCCGGACAGAGCAAGATCCACATCCACCGGGCTGCTATGGCCCACGATGGACTTTGAGAGGCACATCCAAGTGGACATCGGCCGGGGCCCGGGGGGGGGGGGGGGGGGGGGGGCGGGGGGATTAGCTGGGAGACCAGCATCGGGGATTTGTGCGTCAAAGGGAGAAAAAGGCACGCACTTGAGCCGAGAAGAGGGAAAATGTCCGGGTGGGGCCGCTGAGGAAGGCCAATGCCGGAGAGGAGGAGATGATTCGAGTGTCCACAATGTCGAGCAGGGCAAACTGGTGTGGCGTCGACAGCGAGTGCAGGAGGTTGCCCGCGTCGCGCACAGAATCGGCCTCCAGGAAGAGGGCCATTTGGCGCTCGCGCCAAGCGAGACGCTCATCCTCCGGGGGGGCTGGGAGGGCTTCAGCTTGGAGGGGATCCCCGGAGCGAAGGTGCAACAGTTCGATGGCCATTCGCCGGACGAGGTCCAACCGATTCGGGTGGCCATCAGGCAGGGCGAAAAATGCCTGCAGCCGGTCATCCTCGGTGTTGTTGATGTCAGCCGGTGTGGTCGCAGGCTGTGCGCCAGGTGCGTGGGGGAGTCAGTAAGAGAGGGGGGGGGAGAAGCGGGAGAGCGGAGGAGCGGAGGAACAGAGGAGCAGGGATGACTGGAGCACGAGCTCGTCCCCGGCCCCCCTCCCGCCGTCCCCCGCTCCCCCGGGAGAGGTGGCCAGAGGAGAGCGTACACCGAGGGAATCGAGGAATCGCCCAACAAGCTCGACATCGCCCGCCAACAGGCCCGTTGGGGTCGACAGGCTGTCGAGTAGGGCGTGCTCGAGGCCCCCGGCGTCTGGCCCGCCGGCTGGCTGGACACAGATAGTCCACCAGCGCCGGGCAAGATCCAATGGGCAGAGGGAGCGCCCAGACAGATCGGCCGCAAGGCGCGTGGCAAGGGTCTCAGCCACGGCTTGGAAAAAGTCCGGCACGCTGACCGTCACCCTCGAGCATGCCTGACGGCGTGTCAGTTCTCCCAGAACTGTGCGAACAAGCTCGGCATCCAAGCGGCCGAGCAACGCCAGGTCGTCGGCCAGCGAATCGTGAGGAGGTTTGTGTGGTGGCATGGGAGAGAAAGAGAGACGCTGTTTCCCCCCCGTTTAGATGCGACAGAAAAGCACCCAGTCGCAACAACAATCCGCGTGCGCGCAAGTGCGAGGGCAGAGAGAGGGAAGACAGGGAGACAGAGAGAGGCAGCGAGCAAGCTAAAGGGGCAGGCGGGTGGGCGGGCG